ATGGATTTTACTGGAAAGTTTAGATTGCCATTGCATATATTATTGTTATTTTTGGAACAAAGCGTTTTATGCGGGATAGGGAGCCATTTGACCTCTATTTACCGTTAAACATATGGAATGCTCTTCTTGCGGCTTTTAGCATCGCAGGCACTATGACACTTCTTCCAGAATTTGTACATACTGTTCGCTCAAAAGGCTTTAAAGGTATTTTATTGATTCTTCTCATAATAATTTGGTCTTTACAGCAGTACTTTATTTTTTAATTCTTATATCATTTACTTCAAAAAATCATGATAATATTTTAATGATTGTCTGTGAAACTCAGAGGATGGTAGAAACATTGTCTAGCTTGGCTGATCTTGAAAACTAGCAATAAATACTGGAACTTTTCATTTTTACTGTCAAAAACCCGTTTTTAGATTATTTTGACATTTACATATTCATTTACTACGACTTTCAAATATATTCTTTTAGGAGATTAATTTGCTTCATCGTAGCGTTTCATTAGTTTCTTACGCCATTTTTGCTTTTCTTTTTTTTCACTGCTCTAGCAAATTGATAGACTGATTAATTATTGATGAGGATCATATGTTTCTCCTGATATGTGGGGAATTTACTACGTCTCAATTGAACTTTATTCAGCTTTTTATTTTAGCGTCATACTGTAATGTTTATGGATTCACTAAAGGTGTAGTTGGTTTCTGGAACTGGCTGTTTACTATTTCGAAGCTCTGCGAATTATTTGATACTGTCTTCGTGGTTTTACGCAAAAAACCACTGATGTTTTTGCACTGGTATCATCATATTTTAACGTTATTCTATGTTTTTTATTCGTATCCGCGCCCAACTGGTTTTAGCCGATGGGGAGTGAATATGAATTACTTTGTGCATGCAGTCATGTATAGGTAAGTTGGTTTTAGGAAATCTGTATCGAATTTGACCTTTAAAATTTGTGTGTTTTATTCAATTTAGATCTGTTTTCAAAATTAAATGCATGTATTGCACTTTGTAAATTTTTTTCTAAGTTAAATTAGAAAGTGTATTTTTCCGTAACTGACTCATTCAACTTAGTTCTTGTTTATAGTTACTACTTTTTACGTTCAATGAAGATGCGGCTGCCCGGTTTGTTTGCGAAATTCGTTACTAGTCTTCAGATCTTACAATTTATTATCAGCGTCACTCACTTAGCTTACTTGGGTTACTGTATTTACAGTCGGGAGGTATGAATTTTTTAATTTACCTATACATTTTGTATCTTTACCTTACTGGTCAAGACTCTCTAACCTATTTTTTTTAATTACTGACTCTGGCTATCATGTTACTGACTCCCAGTATTTATTCCGTAGAAAATTTCTTTGTGAAATTTGCCAGATTTTTTTAATAGACAGTTTAACCCCTAAGTCAAGTTCATCCTTTCTTTTAATATTGCACCGATCAGTTTTACAGATAAAATGCGACTTCGATGAAAGCGTTTACATACTTGCATGCTTTATGAACATCACTTACCTCGCTCTTTTCATTAATTTCTTTTTGAAATCTTATATAGTCGGCGGAGGAAAGGCGAAATATAGATCGAACGGTTTACTCAAAAAACTGGCCTAAATTAATGTGTAAAAAACTTTTTGTTCAATTTCTTGTTCATTTATGTGCGTAGTTACGTTGAGGGATTTTTACAATGTAATTAAGTCACTGTGTGCTAATTTTTACTCTTACTCTGTTTATCTATTTCAAATACATTTATTAATTGTTATTATTATAAATATGACCTCAAATCATTTTGTTGGTCAAAAATACAGTCATTACGGTTTACTCTTTTATCCCAAAAGTTACGTGCTGATATTTTCAAGAATTCATTTGCTCTATTTTATCTTCCTTTTTTTTAATTTCTTTTCAGTTCTCTATTGCGGATTGACCAAGAATTTACTGATGATGATGCAGTGGTAATTATTTAAGATTCGCATTGAAGGTTTTTTTATTCCTGTTGCTTTGAGGCTTTAATGCCACCGTTTTCATTTAAGTAGGGGTTGTTGTAATACTTTTTCGTTCTCTTTCCTCTTTTTCTTTTGCTTTTGATTGGTTTTACTGTAGTTGTTTTTCCTTCATGTGCTCGTTTTGTAATTTTAATAACATTTCCTTTTTGTTCTAGTTGTAAACTTCTATAATCAGTTTTATGAGATCTCCTGATACTTGGCTCTTTGCGGTCTACTGTTTCTAAAGTGGCTAATTCTAGATATTGTTAATGATGGGTCTTAATTTGGAAATGCGTTTTGCACCATTGATTTTCTTTATTTCTGGTTTCAAAAGTGATTGTATTGACCTTAGCAAAAGTTTTCTTATCTCTTTTTCTTATTTATTTTTTACGTTATTGGAAAATTGCTCTGAAAGGGCATTTAAAGTATGAATGAGGGAAGTTTAGTTGCTCATTATTTGTAATGTTTGTGCATTTGAATGTTTTTTCTCGGGAACTAACAACTTGCATCGCCACAAATCGCTTAACCTTCGTGACAGCAAAAGTTATATAATCAAAGTAATTTTTTACTTTTTGGCCTCAATCTGGTCAAAGGCGGGGGCATGGGTGCAACTGTTTGAGAGGTGATTCATCGTTTCCGCTCGGCTTCCATCAAATTGCACTCTTTTTTTGTTGTTTCAAGTGGAACTTGTTATTCATCTTCAGATATTGTTTTCTGAAGTAGATTTGCTAAATTTACACTTTGTTATAAAAACGCTGACTGCTTGGAGGTTTCTGTTTTATTTTTATTCCATTTTTTTTTTTTTTTTTGAAGCTGATTGTCATTTGCGTTGGTGCGTTCTGACAGATTTGCTGACCTTTGATTGCAGCATCGAATTATTATTTCTGGTTCTAAAATCGATGGCAGTAAGAAAAGTTCCGAGTTACAGTCGACTGTAGGTATTCCAGTAACTAACAAGCGGTCGTAGGTATACATTACTATTGTTGATTAATACTTAGTTTTTATTGCATTGGAGAATGCATAGTTTGTTATTAGGGTTCTTGCATAAATTTTTTTTATTTGGAAGGTACAGACTGCATAGTAGGATCAAGGTAAATATTAAATCTTTCGAGGAGTATGCAACATTTACACGAATATGACAAGAACTAAAAGAGGAAAGAAAATCACCGTTACTTTGGTGGGTTTGAATTATACAGAGGAACAAGTGTGGTGGACCATGAAAACGGACCTTGGACGCTTGGCGAGCAAGGTGCCACAGGAGATATGAAAATCTTATGCTTTTAAAGCAGATAACAGCGGTAGGATCGTTTGAAGTCATCATCTCATGCAGTTAACCTCTCGTTACTGATCGCTCTCCATAGAATGTTAGTCGCTTTTCTGTGAAATAGGTCTATGGCTTCTGCAGTTTTGTATTATTCGATTTTCGGAGGTAATCTTCGCTTAATAATGTTTGTAAGCTAAAACTGGCATAGCCGTACTGGCTTTCTTTGTCGTTCTTGAAACAGTAGCTATGTACTGAAGAAAGACGATGGTTCAGAGAGGTTAAAAGTGCCTGTTTTAGTTGAAACCTGTTTTGCTGAACAAAATTTTACCATTAAAGGAAAATTTCTGGATATTTGATATGACTAGCTGAGCTAAGTACCCCTGAGTCGATTTGTGTTCAAAGTCTTAGTACAGTGAACGTTATGAATAAGGAGGCAGTGGTGGTTGCTCTGACATTTGCAATGCATCATCGTAGGCTGGTGGAGGTTTTGTAGGAAAGACCCGTCCAGGATTTAGTTTGAACGACTAAAAAATTTTTTATTTTAAAGTATTAAAAAATATCTTGAATTGAAAATTTTCTGGGACTAGTCAAAAATCTCTAAGATAGTGTTGTTTGAGAATCTGTCTTGCTAAGTGATGTTTGCAGTGGTCAGTAAACTAAAAATCAGTAGCTGTGGAAGTGACGCTACAGGTTGTAAACAGAGGTCTGAAGACGTAAAGCTGTTGAAATTTCCTTGAATTGGGTTATTAAACAAGTGGTTAGGAAGCTTACGGGATCAACACTGGTCGCTATTGCCTGGTTATATGAGGGAAGTGAAGACTCACTGCCTGCCCTCAGTGACCGCCATGAAGCCGGATCCCTTTCACAGCAGGCACTATTTGGAGGTGGCGGTAAACACGGAAACGAAGACGCGAGGTTTAATGCCATTAGTAATTCTTGCTAAAATGATTTTTTAGATTATAACTTTCTTGTCAAATTACCAGTCTTAATTTAATTTTTTTGACGGTTAGAAGAATAACTGGTTGAAGCTTTGTTCAATATTAAATAAAATAAAAGAAACTAAATTGATTTTGTAGCTTAATATTAAGTTTCTTTTATGCGTTCTATTCATTATGAAAATGATGAAAATTTAGTTGTTTAGAGTTCTTTTACTGCATTCCTTGGCTTTTATTATTTATTCATATCTTTTTATAGAAAAGATAGGATGCTTTTTCAGCATTATGCCATAAAAGTTCTGCGCATTTTTAATAGTATTTCTTAATGGGACCTTTAGCCGATAAGCATAATGTTTTAGGTATTACAATATAAAGTAATGAGGATATCTCACTTTTTCACAGCACTGCTAAACGATATGGAGTGAGTAGTGGCGGTACTATGGGAATTACACCTTTTTACTTTGCTTATTTTACTACACAACTTTTTTCTCGGGTTTATATGAAAGGTTTATAACAGAAGTTTGTGGGAAAACATTTCTTCACAAATTTATTTTGGACATATTTCGGACATGAATATTTGCAATGGGGGCTAGAAATGGCAAAAAGGAATTTCGTTCGTGCTGATTTGGTTTATTAAACCAGTGCTCAGAAGAGTTTTTTACCAATAAAATTTTTATGGCAGATTACTAGAAAATGATTCTTTTGACATGTCTGCTGTCTGTTTGAAAGCGGTAATCGTAACCGATTTGTTTTGAGCAGACAGATCAATTTTTTTTGAGACTTACTTTTCTGGAGGGGTGAGGGGCGAAAATTAAACCTGTTCTGAATCCTACAGGGGAAATGCACTTATAAACAAGAAGGGCTGATGTTGTAACCCGCTTTTAATAGTTTCAGAGATACAGTTTAACTTGATGACTATGTGAGAAAAGAAATTGACGCTTAAAAAGTTGGTAATTTTGCGAAAAAAGGGATCAACGATAGCAATGGGTAATGGTTTGCACGTGGCTTAGAGCATCAATCGGAAAATGGTAATTTGAAATATCAGCTAACTGAGCTACGCGGACGGTTCCGAGTGGAACAACACCAACATCCTTCAGCATTGTCGATGAGACAAATGAGGCTCTTTCCCTGGATTGCTGTGTACGAAAGTTCCGTACTTTTTTAAATCAAGAACTTTTTAGAGCTTTTGATGGAAGAAAAACCTGTTCCATACTTTAATCTCCTTAACATTTTGGTACAGATCACTGTAAAAACCGTTAACATTGTAATTACTGAATTGAAATAAAAAAATAAAAGTCGAGGCATCTACAGTAATTAACTAAAAAAGAAAAAACCTAATCAAGAAAAAAGTAATTGCTAAGATTGATTATGAGGGAAGAAATGAGGAATTATTGAGAACTTATTACTAGTATTAAATAAAAAATTTCAGCATCTGACGTTACGAGAAAGTAAACTGTGTTATGTGACTTCAACAGTGAAATTTGTTTTATAATTTTTCAAGATAACGGTGGCAAGAAGAAAAAAAAAAGATTGTACATTTGAAAAGTCTATTCGTTCGTCTATTTTGATGAACATTTTTTTTTTCTACAGAATAAACAGCTTGCAAGTGAGGAAAAATAGCAAAAAATTCTGCTGTTATTTTTTACCTGACGTCGAAGGTTTATTTCACGTCTTTGCTTGTACAGCTTTCTGCAATAGCAAAAAAAATTCATCATCAAGCAACATAGAAGGACACCTAAAAGCCAAACAATTGGAGACCATTTGAAAATTACTTCAACTGGGACCTGAAAATATTTCAACTTCCAATCATTAACTTTTGAATCTTGGAAAAAAAGATTCATGATACTTTTTAATGGACAATAAGAGGGGATATGTAATTTTTTTTATTTTTCTGATATCAATATGTATAGTTGAGATACGGCATCAGTTGCAACTGTTAACGGCCAAAACAACGCTGAAGATACTAATGAATTGCGAACATCACTGCTTAGACACAGAATAAACCGGTACCAAAATAATTATACGTTTATTTTGATATTTACTATGTTTTTTTCAGGTCTTTTTTCCTTATTCAAAGCTAAAAAAAAATATTTTTATATTCTTCTCTTTTGACGTTCTGTTAATTCCAACAGATAACAAACAGCAAAGTTAATGAAGTTCTTCTTTTTTGCAAAAAGCAAACTTATATATTCCCAAAAAGCTACTCACTTTAGTTATGTTCAACTTTCATCTTGTCACTTTCTTTTTGACGATGAAAAGTTGGGTACAAACGGCAGCTATTCAAATATATAAAGAAAAGAAGAATCTGTAAAGTGGTTCCAGCAAATTTTATTTTTTTCCCTCTTCCTTTTCTTCTTCCTTTTTTACCTCATTTTTGTTACATTGGACGAACAGATTTTTGAGGGACGACATCTATTAGTGTGTACAATGTTTTTTTGTTTGACTATTTATCAATGTTTAAACTTGGTCAAATAATCTTTGATGTTGCTGAAGTCGTGCAACACGAGAAAGAAAACACCTGACAAATGCTCTGACAATTCAACTTATTCTGATCAAAACTTCAATTTAAGGTTAACATTCTTTTTTTGTTTTCGACATAAATGACAGTAGTGATTTCAACAAATTTCTCTATTTAGTCAACTTTTTATGACATCATTACGTTCGCCTATTTCTTCCTTTTTTAAACTCAGCTCTAAAACTTTAGAGGATTTTATTACATTTTCAAATATTCAACAGATATACAGATAAAAATCACAGAATAAAAATAGAGCCAAAAAAAAAAGTTAGACAGATTTTTTTGTTTTTTTGTTTTTTTTTTTCTTAAATAGTCAACAATAGTTACCTCAAGTTTCATTAGAAAAAACAGTATTGCAATCATAAAGAATATACCAGCGAGGATTATAAGCTTCTTCATCTCTTCGTAACTGTTTGCAGATATCCTAAAAAAAAAAGACGGATTTTTCACTCTCAAAAAAATTTAAACATTTTGAATAGTTAGTTAAGTTGTCAAATAAAATTTAATAAATTGATCATGAACTGCTTTTCAATTACCTTCCTTGTTTTTTTTTT